CAAAAATAAGGACCCCAGTCAGTAATTTAAATTCTCTAATTCCTTCACTGCATGAGGGTTTACCCTATGACATGAATGTTTTTTTTTTTAATACAAAATTGTAATGCCCTCCCCTACACTGTTTGGGCTATGGGGAGAAAGCTATGAATACGTTCCCTCATTCCCACTAGAATAGAGGAGTGAATCAATTTTTAAAAATCAATATTAGTGTAGTCCTCTCAATCACCGAGGGCTCGCAACCAAACTTATTACTTGTTATACCATATTTTCATTAGCAAAACAGACTGAAGATATAGGAGTGTCTAGGTGATTTTTTTTTTTCCAGATTGTATAGATAAGAACTATAAAGTTCAAGCAGCAGCTGACCGATGTTCCACTCCCCTTGAGTTAGTCACCTGAAGAGATTAGCAAACTGTCAGATACTCAAGTTAAGCATTTATGCTGGAATAAGCAACTCTAATATGCCTCACATATTAATTTATGAAAATGTTTCATTCTCTTAAACAAAAAAGATAGAAACGCAAAAAGATGTTCAAAAATAAATTAGTAGTTAAATTTTTTTCCCTGACTATCAAACAATGCAAGAAAGAGAATATTCAGGGGCTTTGCAAAAGATCAAAATGGAAAATTCAATACATTACACGAAAAGGCACAAAATTTTCATTTCAGTTTTTATATGAGAGCAGAAAATTCCATTTTGATAAAGCAAGAACTATATTAGAATATGAGGCTATGATAACAAGAGTGAGCCAGCTGCCTTCAAATCACATACACAAAGTCATACAGAAATACACAAAAATTGAATGATTGCAGGGACCTTTATAATGTACTTGCTACAAATCAATAACCTAAAATAGTCATTATTTTTCTGTTAATAAGTTAATAAAGGTTACTACAATCCATCATATTTCAGTTTTAATTCAACAAAATAGTGATAAAGAACTTTTTTTTATAAGAAATTCTATTTATATGGTTTTTACTACAATAATGCACACAATACTTGTAACACATGGCAAATAAAAGCTTAACTGTATGCATGTGTTTTAGCATAAGAATATGATGAGGGTAAGATTTTCAAATGTAAAAACTAACAAGAACATTAACTATACAAATATAGATGGCGTTATTGAGGCAGTTAAAGAAGTGGATATCACCAGACACCTCATCACGCGTCCTGTTATCAGCAGCAGCAGCAGGGGACCGAGATCTGTGTCTACTCCTTTGGTGACGGTCTGATGGTGAAGTTGAGTGCCCATGTCTCATTCTAGAAGACCCATTATCAACTGCATCCCTTCCTGACCTTCGCTCCCTTCTCTCACTAGGCACTGCCTTGTCTGGATCTCTTTCCCTACGTATACCCCTATCACCTCCCCTACCATGATTTCTTTCATTCTCCCTTTCACTCACTCTCTCAGCCTCTCTTTCAGCTTGCGTTCTCCTTAATCTTTTAGTCTGTGGTGAGGGTGAGCGAGATACAGGAGACCTCGACTTTGCAAGTGTTGGGGACCTGGTGCGACTTGAGGGTTTCTCTCTCATGGGCAAGGGAGAAACAGGAGACCTCGCCTTTGTGCGTTTAGGTGACTTGGTACGACTTGAAGGTTTCTCTCTTACAGGTAGAGATACAGGAGATCTTGATCGTGTGCGTTTAGGGGACCTGGTGCGACTTGAAGGTTTCTCTCTAACAGGTGAGCTTGTTTTGAGTGAACTCCTATGCCCAGCAGGAGATCTCTCTCTTCGAGAAGGGCTCCTCCTACGAGGAGATCCACGTCCCCTGACTGGAGATACTGAATGATCAGATACATTCCGCACCATTGGTGAGATCCAATGCACTAACCTGGATGGAAAACAGGTACCATAAATATTGAAACCAAAGATATGTTAAGAAAACAGAATGCTGGAATATCCATTATTGATGAAGGTCTAAAGATTCGTCTTTTCTAATATGCTCCATTTGGATGCTGAGAAAAGTAAGACAGATAAACATTATTGCGTTTCTTGGTGTCAATAAACTAAAATGAACCAGAATACTAGTAACAGAAAGGACGACTTTCTTGTTTCTACAACTAAAGCACTCAGTCCTATTGCCATCTTCTTGCTTGCTGGGAAAAAACAGAAGAAAGAAAAGAGAACCTATAATAATTTGAATAGACCACATCGAAACACCGAAGACCGATAGAATACCGAATTAGTGAAATAAATACTTGACATTGAGCATCGAGAAACAAAAATTCCGAAATCTATGATATAACATCGCGGATTAAATTAGAACATCATAAATAAAAAACCAGCTAAAACCCTAGAAATCGAAGTGGCTGGCCACTAAACTGGTGAATGCGAGACGTCAAATATCAAAAAGTGATCTAGCTGTAGTGAGATAGTCTTCGGAGATGGTGAAAACTTACCTGCTTGAGGATTAGGGTTTTCTGCGAGGAAGAAGAGAGTGACGCGGAAGAGATAGAGAGAGTGTGTCAGTGTGTGAGACTGGAGCGTGAATGTGCAAGTGAATGTTGGATCTCCAAATTTGTCGGTTTTGGGACCGGGTAGTGGGTACTTTTGGGCTTGGGTTCTTACAAATTGGACCGTAGCCCACTATTATTGTTTTCTAACAAAAACACTATTTAATATTATAGTTTTGTTTTTGGTCAAGAAATTCGCTTTTTGTGGGTCAAGTATTTAATATTATTGTTAGAAAGTGGAATTCTTTTATTTTCAACTCAAACATAATTTAGTTAATAAAAAAGTTGGATTCGGGTTTAACTACTAGACAACATAAATTGCAATTAGGCAATATAATATATGAATAACAAGATTCGATTATTACCCTAATGAGAGTAGCATAATAAAAATTTAGAAAAAAAAGAAAGTTCGTCTTACTACCCCAGAGCATATAAATCCACCCAATCGATGAACACTCAAACCAAATTCACCCATCCTTTTGGGTACAAGGACGCCAGAACCAATTCAACTAATCAACCATTTTTACTGTAGAAAATTTGCCTCCAGCAAGATAAGGATCAGCCAAAAAGTCGTATAGCACATGAACGCTCACATTTATTGGCTTATTCTTTCACTTTCATTTTAAAATTTGGATCGCAAATATCGACGATATCGTATCAAATATTATGTCTTAATCTAATTAATTTAAAGGTAAAATGTGTAAAATAATAATGTGATAGTGTGGATATAGAGGCCAATGCCCAAACGTTGGGATCTCTCTATTTGATCCGATGAAATTTTTTAATTTTTTTTTAATCACTATACACACTTCGATATTAAGGCACCACGTTATTTGTGCAAGTACCACTCGTTGTCTAGTAACCACCCTTCCGCGAATGCACTCGACATCAAAATTACGTATGTACCACTCGTTGTCTATTTTTTTTGTTTGTTTGTTTTTTTCTTTTCTATTGGGCATATTACCAACCTATTGAAATTGATATCAAGGGCGATTCAACAGTATTATAAAAAAAAAAAAATTAAGTTTTAGGTATTATAAACAATTCATTGAAAAAAATAAATTCATAAATATTTAAGCCCTACAAAAAAACTTTATAAAAACACAAGTTCAATTAAAAAAAAATTAGGATCTCACTTTAAAGAAAGTCCCAAAAAAAATCAAGTTTAAACTTATCATCATATTTTTNTTAGGATCTCACTTTAAAGAAAGTCCCAAAAAAAATCAAGTTTAAACTTATCATCATATTTTTTGAATCATTCTCTTTTTCTCTTATCATTAAGTTCAAATATAGTAATAAAAACGTGAATATAAAAATTTAACTAATATTTTTGTATTTTAAAAATTAAAAAATAAATTTATTATTAATATTAAAAATAAAAAAAACCTTTCTGCTTTAAGCCCCAATATGTCTCGGGCCACCCCTAATTGATATTGTATCAAAATTTTATAATTTTTTAAGATTAAATTATAAAATTTTAAAATAAATATTATACTTATAAAAAAGTATCGTCAATTTTAAAATGTTAATAATTTTATGATCCGATGATGCCAAGACTAAATATATACAGAAAACATGTCTACAACATAATAAGGAAGTTAGTCGACCTAAAGACCAGACTCTTCCACCTACTACTATGCAGGGATCCAAATTACTCTATCATTATTTGAGGACCATACTCTCTTGGTGTAAAAACAGATAAATCATTGGCTTAGTAGAATAATGAACAATTGTACTTTTAANTGCAGGGATCCAAATTACTCTATCATTATTTGAGGACCATACTCTCTTGGTGTAAAAACAGATAAATCATTGGCTTAGTAGAATAATGAACAATTGTACTTTTAAGAGAGTGAAATATTCTTCTTCTCTAATAAATATAAATTATAGGAACAAAACATTCTATTTTAGAGTGGATTAACCTAGTTCTTTAGCTTGGTGAATCACTTATCCTCTTGTGTTTTAGTTTTTGTCAACACACACAACTCACCCACATCACTATAGAGCTCGTTATCTCATATTTCTCGGCTCTTTACATTATCATGATCAATCATGANACACACACAACTCACCCACATCACTATAGAGCTCGTTATCTCATATTTCTCGGCTCTTTACATTATCATGATCAATCATGAAAAGTTATAATAATTTTTAAATGTAAAGTTACACCATTTAAAATCAAGTTCAACCTTTTAAAAGTGAAGTTATAAACTAATTAGGCTATTTATAATTAGGTATATTAATTGTGTCGAGTGAGACGAGTTTGTGTCAAGTTTTAATGGGATCGTGTCAAAAATATTCCACTCATACATGATTTGTTTACTAATTCGTGTCTAGTAAATCATGTTATATCAAATATAAATTGTGTATAATTAATATATAAATAAGTCGTGTCGTATATTTTTTTTTATTACCTTTATTCGTATCCCCTATATAAAACAATACATGGTTTTCATAATGTCCACCCTAAAGGACCATGCAACACTATTCAATCTTGCAATACAATTTGAGAACCATATTCATCTCTTTCCTCGGCCAAATGGATAATAGATTCAGTGATTGAGAGGAGAAATAATGATGCCATTCAAATACAAGAAAGAAATACCTTAGTTGTCCCCCAAAAAAAATGAGTTAAGCAACCTCACTACTTGTGTGCAATAAGGCAAAATGACAAAAATGTTACAACATCATATAGTACAAAAATTATCGTTCATTGTGAGTTATTACATAGCCACTGACCAAGTATATCCTGGGGATACACTAGTACAAAATTTGCAAACATAGAATTCAAGCGACAAGTTAACGTAATCTCATTTTAAACAAGTGAATTGAAAACTTGAATTCAAAAGATATGACAATCAGAAACACATTGTCAACCAATGAAATCATTCAAATCCAAAGTAAAACATTATAAACAACCCTTTGATACCTGTTGAAGTACCCCATTGATTTCACACAAGCAACTCTGTGAGACAAATAAACCGGTATATCACTTTAATCCTAAAATTCTTAATTTGGTGATTCTATACCTCAAGTTTCGAATTGCTATTCACATATTGAATAATTCTAATTATGTTAAACCTTTTGAATGTAGATCAATATGATTGTCAGCCTTTAAAGTGGTAGAATTGGTCGCAAGTTTGTTCCAAGATACATGTGCCAAATAAAAGACAAAATCTGAAATTCTATACATATGATATTTGTAGTGGATATTTAAGGATATGGAACTAAAAAATAGGTGGAACTCTTCTTGCACCGCAAGTCCCAAACCTAATGAAATTTCTCTTGAGCAAAAGATGGAAACTTTTTGAAAGTTATACTTTGAATTATGAATACTTTTAGATCAAATTCACACAGTCACATACCCAAACACAATGGAAGCATTTCCATTGCAAAGTCCAACACATGCAAGTATTAATTTCCGGAGAACATTAAAGTGACCCCTAATGTTATTGTAGTTTTTAAGGCTACATTGAGTGTATATATGAAGAAATGCAACGATAAACACATTAGAAGAAAGAAGCAAGTTCCATTATAATTTTGATTTAGTGACTAAGTTTTAGTCTTATGTTATACTACTGGAAGTCTTTGCTTTTTTTCCTTGAAGAAATTGTAGAATGGTGGTCCAGTGGACTGAACAAATCTAAATGAAATATTATTCTTATTCTCTGTAAAAAGAGAAAATGTCAAAACCTTATCTCTACTTGGCAATTGAACGAAAAAGAATTGATTGGCTGGCTATAACATACATTTTAATTTTCTCCCCATTTTCCTACGAGACAAGTATGTTATTATGTGGTTCTGCTTGGGAATTTGTTAAAGATTCTCATATAACAGGTAAAAGGCACAAACTTGAGAGTTGAGGAGGAGAAACAAACTTGAGGATTGAAAGTTGGAACCACATAGGTCTCAAAAAATTTCCGATTGAGAGATGTTCTAGTATTCACACATTGCCAAGAGAATCTTTTGAAGAATCCAGCTCCATCAGAGGTTACCCAGTAGCCCATCGTAGTAGCCACCCTACTAATGGCTTGTCGGCGGACTGATTGACGGCGGACGACTAAAGCTTTGACAAAGCTTGCCAAAGCCTTAAATGTGTTTCCTTTTTTCTTGTCTTATTTGGCCAAAAAACTCCCAATAAATAGGAAGTTTAGTGAAGGCCGGAAGTATGCTTAAGATCAATGAAGAAGAAACAGAGAGAAAGAGAGAGAGAGAGATTCGGGAGAGATCTCAGTGAGAATTTTGTATAAATTCTTATATTTTATTTTCAGAGAGAAATAAAGATATCCTCTTTGTTTATATCTTGTTTGTGGTGTATATCTTGGGTTTGAACTTTAGTTCCATGTAGCTGCACTTTGTCAAAACCGGAGAAAAGAAATGTTAGGGTATAAAGCCAAGGAACTAACGTTTCCTTTTCTATGTAAAATGAAATGAGTCCATGACTGATTACTAAAACTACTATATTTTGAAATGTTACATAATGTTCCACAAATAATTTTTAAATTTTTTGTTTGTTTCTATCATATTTTTGTATTGTTTCCAAATCATTTTTCAGACGTTTCTATTTTGAAATTAAACAAAATTATGTGCCAAAATGAAATTTTAATCCTTGGATAAGGGAAAAATGTTGCACCAAATGATTGGGCCCATGAAAGAGAATTGGCGAAATGGTGTCTCACCATTTACAGAGGCAAAGAGAATCAAAGAGATCTTGTGTGCAGTGTTGGGAAAATAGGCTTTCCCACAAGTGTAAATCAATGGAAGCAATATAAATAAAATAACAGAAAATAAATAAGCACACAAGATTTACGTGGTTCCCTCAAATAACTTGAGGTACATCCACGACGACCGGTAGGTCAGTTTCTTCCACTATCACCAAATCAGATTACAAAGTGGCCAAAAGGCATAAGCCTTACAAACACACCAAGGTGTAAATCACAAGAGGAAAATACCTCACAAAATAAGTGAACCAAATCTCCAAGAACAAACCGCAAGAAACCCAAATATCAAGTGAAGAAATGTTACCCACTTGAAGAACAAATTTGCAGATTTTTCTGGCACCAAAAAGGAGAAGAAGAAGGCTGAATTTTTGTTGAACCAAAGACTGCCGAAAATATGTCTTCTTGCCAAACCAACAGAGAAAAGATGAACCAAAGAAAAGGACAAAACTTATAGTCTTTGGTGGCTGCCAAATTCCTTTTAACTTGAAGACTCCAAACCAAGTCTTGGATAAGAGTCATACACGGGTAAGCCACCAAAAAATTAGCAAATTGATGAGTCCCACAAAGGAGGGAAACCCAACAATTCTCCCCCTCCCGACTTATGTGGAGGATTCGACCATTCCCGCCAAAAGTCGACACTTCTCATGCTTGTCCTTAGTCAATGCCTTAGTTAACATATCCGAAGTGTTATCATCAGTGTGAATTTTTTCAAGTTGTAACAACTTATCATTCAAGACATCACGAATCCAATGATATCTAACATCAATATGTTTCGATCTCGAATGAAATGAAGAATTCTTGCTCAAGTGGATTGCACTCTGACTATCACAATGAAGGACATACCTTTCTTGTTTCAAACCCAACTCTTGTAAGAATTCCTTCAACCACAATAATTCTTTGCAAGCTTCAGTGATGGCGATGAACTCAGCTTCTGTGGTGGAGAGAGCAACACATTTCTGTAATCTTGATTGCCATGCCACTGCTCCCCCTGCAAAAGTAATCAAATAACCAGAAGTAGATTTTCGACTATCAACATCACCAGCCATATCAGAATCTGTGAACCCATCAAGAATAGGCTCGCCTTTACCAAAACACAAACTCATCTTTGAAGTGCCCTGAAGATACCTCATAATCCATTTCACTGCTGCCCAGTGTTCTTTCCCTGGATTAGACAAAAATCGACTGACAACCCCAACTGCGTGAGCAATATCCGGTCGAGTACAAACCATGGCGTACATCAAAGAACCAACTGCTGAAGCATAGGGAATTTTCTGCATCTCATTTCTCTTTTCATCACTTGTAGGACACTGACTTGAGCTTAGTTTGAAGTGGCCTGCAAGTGGACAATTAACAGGCTTTGCTTTGTCCATATTGAACCTCTCAAGAACCTTTTTAATATAATTCTCTTGAGATAACCAAATCAGCCCATGTGATCTGTCACGAACAATTCTCATCCCAAGAATTTGCTTTGCTGGACCCAAATCCTTCATGGCAAAGGACTTACTCAACTCTGACTTCAACTTGCTAATCTTACTCGTGTCTTGGCCCACAATAAGCATATCATCAACGTAAAGCAAGAGAATAATAAAATTACCATCTTTATATTTCTTCACAAACACACAATGGTCTGAAGTGGTTCTTGAATACCCATTCTCACTCATGAAAGCATCGAATTTTCTGTACCACTGCCTCGGTGCTTGCTTCAATCCATACAAGCTCTTCTTCAATTTGCAAACTAACTGATCATTACCCTTATCTTTGAAGCCCTCAGGTTGCTCCATATAAATTTCCTCTTCTAAGTCACCATGCAAAAATGCGGTCTTCACATCAAGCTGCTCAACTTCTAAATTCATACTCGCAGCTATACCAAGCACAGTTCGAATGGAGGACATCTTCACAACTGGTGAGAAGATCTCATCAAAATCAACTCCCTTTCTCTGATCAAAACCTTTCACGACAAGTCGTGCCTTGAATCTCGGTTGAGAACTGTTCCCATCATTCTTTCGTCTGAAGACCCATTTATTTTTCAAAATTTTCTTCCCTTTAGGCGGCTTCACCAAATCATAGGTGTGATTCTCATGCAAAGACTTCATTTCCTCTTTCATTGCCTTGAACCATTCAGTTTTGTTCTCATGCTTCAAGACTTCTTGATAAGTCCCTGGCTCCCCCTGATCTGATATCATCACATACTCATTTGAAGAATATTTTCTGGATGACTGTTTTTCTCTAGTAGATCTCCTTAACGGTGTCTGTGGTAGTGGCTCTTGGGGTGGTTGCTCCCCCTCAATCTCTGGCTCAACATCATCTTCTGCTGCATCATCATGAGGTGTTTGCACTTCCTCATCAATATCATGAACAGCAGAGGGATTGAGAGGATCTAAATCAACAAGATCATCAGTACTAGACTCAGCTGACTCAAGCTTGTCGATGTCTTCAATAGTCTGATCTTCCAAGAAAACAACATCTCGGCTTCTGACAACTTTCTTGTCAACTGTATCATACAACCTGTATCCAAATTCTTCATGCCCATAGCCAAGAAATATGCATTGCTTTGCTTTTGGATCAAGCTTGGACCTTTCATCTTTTGGAATATGAACAAAAGCTCTGCAGCCGAATACCCTCAAGTGATCATAGGAGACTTCCTTCCCTGTCCAAACTTTCTCTGGCACATCACCATTCAACGGAACTGAAGGAGACAAATTGATAAGATCAACTGCGGTCCTCATTGCCTCACCCCAAAAGGATCTTGGCAATTTAGAATGTGAGAGCAAACATCTGACTCTCTCAAGAATGGTGCGATTCATTCTCTCTGCAACCCCGTTCTGTTGAGGTGTCTTTTTAACTGTCTTTTCATGCCTGATACCATGATTTGTGCAATACTGATCAAATGGTCCAATATATTCACCACCATTATCCGAGCGAACACATTTCAACTGTCTACCTGTTTCTCTTTCAACCTTGGCCTGAAAAATCTTAAACACATCTAGAACTTGATCTTTAGTTTTCAGTGTATAAGCCCAAACTTTTCTAGAGTGATCATCAATAAAAGTGACAAAGTATAGAGCACCACCAAGTGTCCTAACTTTCAAAGGACCACATACATCAGAATGTACCAAATCTAAAACATGAGATTTTCTAGATGCAATGTTTCTACGGAATGATATTCTGTTTTGTTTACCATGGAAACAATGAACACAAGTTTTCAAAGGCGTACCTTTTATCCCCACTAGAAGCTCTTTCTTGGACAAAACTTGCAATCCTTTTTCACTCATATGTCCAAGCCTTCTATGCCATAAATCAGTGGATGAGTCATTCTCTAAGGTATTCACAACACCCTTGCAGATTTTTGCTTGCATAGTGTAAAGAGAACAAGTCTTCTTTCCTTTTGCTACCACTAGAGAACCTTTGGAGAGCTTCCATTTTCCATTACTGAAATTGTTGATGTAGCCTTCATCATCTAACTTTCCAGCAGAGATTAAATTGAGTCGAATATCTGGTACATGCCTCACATCTCTAAGCAGCAATTTGCATCCAATATTTGTTTCCAAGCAAATGTCACCCATGCCGACAATTTTTGACACATCTTCATTTCCCATACGGACATTCCCAAAATCACCTTGTGAGTAAGAAGTAAAGAAATCAGCCCGCGAAGTAACATGAAATGAAGCTCCAGAATCAATTACCCAATCCGTCTCTTGGCCAATCAAATTAACGCTAGCATCATCACGGATAATCATGAGTTCATCATCGGTAACTACAGCTGTATCAATTTGCTTTTTCTCTGAATTTTTCTCTTTGTTCTGCTCCTTGAACTTGAGTTTTCTACATTCCCGCTTCATGTGCCCTTTCTTGTGACAATAATAGCATTCAACATCCTTTTTTGACATCGAGCTTGAACGACCTCTAGATTTATCACGGTTGTGCGGAACCCTACTCTTACTCCTGCCTCTCCCCCGGTTTTCCATTACAAGTGCCTCGGAGTAAGAAGAACCTGATGATTTTCTTCTTGTTTCTTCATTCAACAAACTGCTGGTAACTTGACTCATTGTTACCACTCCATCAGGTGCGGAGTTACTAACTGTGACCACCAAAGTTTCCCAGCTTTCGGGAAGTGAACTAAGAAGTAACAAAGCTTGCAACTCATCATCAAAAGTAATTTTCATGGCGGCCAACTGATTCACAATGCTCTTAATCTCATTCAAATGCTCTGCAATAGAAGTACCCTCCTTATATTTAGAGTTCACAAGCTTTCGAAATAAAAAGGCTTTATTCACTGCCGTCTTTCTATCATACAAACTCTCCAATTTGGTCCAAAGACCATGTGCAGATTTTTCTGTAGAGACATGATGAAAGACACTATCATCAATCCATTGCCGAATAAAACCGACAGCTTTCCGGTCTAGCTTTTTCCACTCGTCATCTTTCATCCCTTCCGGTTTGCCACTATCACCCTCTATGGGTCCATTCAAATCTTTACAAAATAAAAGATCTTCCATTTTAGTTTTCCAAGTCACCCAATTTGTGCCATTGAAACTAACCATACGTCCAACGTTGCCGTCCATAATTCACACACAGAAATATAACGAATCGGAACCGAATTAACCAATTGCTCTGATACCAGATGTTGGGAAAATAGGCTTTCCCACAAGTGTAAATCAATGGAAGCAATATAAATAAAATAACAGAAAATAAATAAGCACACAAGATTTACGTGGTTCCCTCAAATAACTTGAGGTACATCCACGACGACCGGTAGGTCAGTTTCTTCCACTATCACCAAATCAGATTACAAAGTGGCCAAAAGGCATAAGCCTTACAAACACACCAAGGTGTAAATCACAAGAGGAAAATACCTCACAAAATAAGTGAACCAAATCTCCAAGAACAAACCGCAAGAAACCCAAATATCAAGTGAAGAAATGTTACCCACTTGAAGAACAAATTTGCAGATTTTTCTGGCACCAAAAAGGAGAAGAAGAAGGCTGAATTTTTTGTTGAACCAAAGACTGCCGAAAAATATGTCTTCTTGCCAAACCAATAGAGAAAAAGATGAACCAAAGAAAAAGACAAAACTTTATAGTCTTTTGGTGACTGTCAAATTCCTTTTAACTTGAAGACTCCAAACCAAGTCTTGGATAAGAGTTATACACGGGTAAGCCACCAAAAAATTAGCAAATTGATGAGTCCCACAAAGGAGGGAAACCCAACATGCAGATGAGGCCAGGGTCCACAACTTCTTGATACATATGGCTTGAAAACGAAGGAAAGGTAAGCCTCTTGAAGTCCCAAAACAAGAAGACGAATTGAAAGGTACATACAATATTTGTGGACCCGACTAATGGGTACAGCTCAGCACCGAAAAGAGCCTTTATGTGGAATTAAGATATGAATAGAAGAATAGGTGTATGGTAGTGGTTGCACACAAAATTTGTACATTTACTGCAATCTTGAATAGATCATTTTTGTTATGTCTGGGTATCATCCTGTAGCTTTGCTCTAATGTCAGAAAGGGGTAGACCTTGTTTCTTTGGACTTGAGAGAGAAAACATAAGAGGGGATAAGTGGGGAAAAAGATCAAGTGGCAAGGGAAAAAACAATTACCCTGTACACATAGGCGGAGGGAGAGAAGGGCCAGCGTGGGCACGTCCCCTCTCAATTTTTTTTTTATTAGTTAAACATATGTATCATATATATATATATATTATGTGTGCCCCATAATTTATATTAGGCTCACATTATTTATTCAAAATAATTAAAAAATTAATTCAATTTAAAACAAAAAAAATTAAACTCACTATTATCTACCCAAACTTATTAAAAAATCATATATTTGACCTATCACAATCCACCCAAAACTATTAAAAAAATAAAATTTTTAGCCCAATATTAAAAAAAAAAAAATTTGGCTCACTATCATTAAAAAATAAAAATTTTGACCTATTTTACTAAAACCTATTTTATCTTTTTTTTTTCCTCTCTGTATCACTCACTCTCAGCTGCCCACTGCCCAGCCACAAGAAAAAAAGAAGAAATAGAGAGAAACTCAACACACGAGAAACTCAGTTCCTTGAGTTTTTTTGTCATTCCTTGCACTAATTTATAAAATTATTTTATACATTATATTTACCCCTTAAAATTTTAGAAATTTTAATAATGGTTCTAGTCTTTTTTTTTTTAATAAATTAGTGGACCACTAGGATTGAGTCAATGTTCTATTTGTATATTGACAAAAATATAACATTTATCTTTATCTAACACAATGTTCGTTATTTTTTAAGAATAATTTTGAGATTTTATTTACCATTTTTTTAGTAGTAGTAGTCTATAACCTAATAAAATACGATTGTATACAAAAAATAAAAGGTTGTAACCCAAAAATATTTCAAACTATTTTGAATATGAAATTTCTCTATAAGATTGATAATAATCTCAACTAAATTTTGTAACTAAATAAAGAATAATTTTACTATGTACTTGTAATTGTGCGCATTAATAGAAAATTAGTGAAAATTTTTGCCTAAATATTTTTTTTGTATTAATTTTTGCTAAATATTTTTTTATATCAGTTATATTTTGTCTCTATCATAGATATTCATGGCTCCGTCCCTAATAATATACATTTTTTTTGGAATTTTTTTATGTTAAATGGACTTCATATATCAAATATAATATAATAAATATAAATATGTTATATAGTGTGATTGGTTAAAAAGAAAAAAATTAAAGTGCATAATTAAAGTGTCCACCATGAACAAAAATTTTGACTCCACCCTTGTCAGTACATAAGAACAGGGTGATGACATGCATTTGAGGTTTGCTTTGTAGCCTTGAGTATGATTGTATAAGAGCAACTCCAAGGGGGTGGGAAAAACTCTTCCGCATTTTTACTTGGATCCACAAAATAAAGGGTAATATGAAATTATAAATTTTTATTAGGATAAAATAATATTTTTTTAACAGTTATATTAACATATATCAACAAAAATGGGTTATGTGATACACATGCACAAACGCTATGAGATGTAGGAGTAATATTTTAAATGTGAAATGGTCCAAATAATTAAGTGACAAACATGAGGGGGATCTAGATATAATTTATCAATTTAATTTTAGATGCACATTGATACAAATTTTTATATTTAAGGGTGCAAATTAAAATTTTTTATTTTTAGGGGTACACATTGATACAAATTTCTATATCTGAGGATACAAATTGAAATTTTTGATCTTTAGGAGTGCACATTGATACAAATTTTTATATTTGAAGGTACAAATTAAGATTTTTGATTTTTGAAGATTTAAATTAAAATTCAAACTATCTTTCAAGGTACAACTTATAATTAACCCTATATCAAATCAAAAGACGAGACTCATTATTTTTACTCTCAAATTAAAAGATATTCAAATACTTGTCAAAATCTTTAATGTTGAGATTTCACTCTTTTTTAAAGATTTAATAATTATTTTTATTCTCATTTAATTTTATATTTGTATTTCTCTTTCTTGAAATTTGAATTTATTTATTAGAGTCTTTTGTATGCAGTAACTCAGATATACTAATTTAAATTTGAATAAATGCAGTAACTCAGATATACTAATTTAAATTTGAATAAAAATTTGATAATATGTTCTCACAATTGAAAAATCAATCTACCCATGTTTGTAAGCCATCCAAAAAGACATCATACAAACATGGCCTTCTCCTCCACAAGCTCCTCCACTGGCAGAACCAGCTGCACTCCTTCGCCACCTCCCAAATCCTACAATCCCTCCTCCCATTTGCCCATCAAATTCAATAAATTTACGTCTTGCCCTTCGACCACCACCGCCAAGACCTTTCCGATCGTTTGCACTCTAGCCAGAGAATCGACGAGCCGTCAGCCAATGGTGGAGGAGAAGAAAGAGTCCGAACCGGTGATTCTTCTGCGGCCGGACTCCTTCGGCCGGTTCGGAAAGTTTGGCGGGAAGTATGTTCCTGAGACCTTAATGTACGCTCTCACCGAGCTTGAGTCCGCATTCAAATCTCTCGCAGGAGACCAAGACTTTCAGGTTTCTGTAATCAGATTTTTTGAATTATAACATTCAGATTTTTTAGTCTATTTCTGTCGTAACTTCAATCCTTGTGTTTATTGAAATTTGGTTTCCATTTTGTTTTGCTTTTTCTGAAAAATGAATAGAATGAGGTTTTTTTTTCTTTTTACTCCTGAAAAATGAATAGAATGAGGGAAATGAGATTGAATTTCTAACGAAATGGGATGAAATTTTCTACGGACGTCTTCTATTGCTCTGATTTCTATGCTAAGATGTCATGATATCAAATTTTATAGCGTGATATAGATTGATTTGAGAGCTAAGGCTTGCAAAGGAGCCTCACAAAGGTTAAAGGAATTTGGTTTCGACCATTTTGGAGCATTACTAAACCATTTAATTTACAAAAGCCCATTTATGTGATCTCGAACACAAGTTAGTTTTCTGAAGCTAAATCTTGGATTCATATTTCATGTATCAAGTATTGTGATGAAGTTTCCAACTTTATCGGAAATGCGTTCAATTTAAGTATTTTTGTGATGCAATAGTGGTGATCTAGAGCTACATTCCTTGAACTGAAAGTATTATCCTTGATGCTGTGTTTCACAGTCTTGTTGTCACTGGCGATTCTATGACTGACCAAATTTTGTTGCAGAAAGAACTAGNATTTTACTAAAACCTATTTTATCTTTTTTTTTTCCTCTCTGTATCACTCACTCTCAGCTGCCCACTGCCCAGCCACAAGAAAAAAAGAAGAAATAGAGAGAAACTCAACACACGAGAAATTCAGTTCCTTGAGTTTTTTTGTCCTTCCTGGCACTAATTTATAAAATTATTTTATACATTATATTTACCCCTTAAAATTTTAGAAATTTTAATAATGGTTCTAGTCTTTTTTTTTTTTTAATAAATTAGTGGACTACTAGGATTGAGTCAATGTTCTATTTGTATATTGACAAAAATACAACATTTTTTTTTATCTAACACAATGTTTGTTATTTTTTAAAAATAATTTTGAGTTTTTATTTACCATTTTTTTTAGTAATAGTAGTCTATAACCTAATAAAATACGATTGTATACAAAAAATAAAAGGTTGTAACCTAAAAATATTTTAAACTATTTTGAATATGAAATTTCTCTATAAGATTGATAATAATCTCAAATAAATTTTGTAACTAAATAAAGAATAATTTTACTATGTACTTGTAATTGTGCGCATTAATAGAAAATTAGTGAAAAATTTCGCCTAAATATTTTTTTTGTATTGATTTTTGCTAAATATTTTTTTATACAAATTATATTTTGTCTCTATCATAAATATAATAAATATAAATATGTTATATAGTGTGATTGGTTAGAAGGAAAAAAATTAAAGTGCCGACCCTAAACAAAAATTTTAGCTCCGCCTCTGTACATAAGAACAGGGTGATGACATGCATTTGAGGTTTGCTTTGCAGCCTTGAGTATGACTGTATAAGAGCAACTCCAAGGGTGTGGCAAAAACTCTTTCGAATTTTTATTCGGACCTACAAAATAAAGGGTAATATGAAATGATAATTTTTTATTAGAATAAAATAATATTTTTTAACAGTTATATTAACATATATCAACAAAAATGGGTTATGTGATACACATGCATAAACGCTATGAGATGTAAGAGTAATATTCTAAATGTGAAAGGGTCCAAATAATTAAGTGACAAACATGAGGGGATCTAGATATAATTTATTAATTTAATTTTAGATGCACATTGATACAAATTTTTATATTTAAGGGTACAAATTAAGATTTTTTATCTTTAGGGGTACACATTGATACAAATTTCTATATCTGAGGATTCAAATTGAGATTTTTGATCTTTAGGAGTGCACATTGATACAAATTTTTATATTTGAGGGTACAAATTAAAATTTTTAATTTTTGAAGATCTAAATTAAAATTCAAATTATCTTTCAAGGTACAACTTATAATTAACCCTATATCAAATCAAAAGAGGAGACTCATTATTTTTACTCTCAAATTAAAAGAGATTCAAATACTTGTCAAAATCTTTAATGTTGAGATTTCACTCTTTTTTAAGGATCTAATAATTATTTTTATTCTTATTTAATTTTATATTTGCATTTCTCCTTATTGAAATTTGAATTTATTTATTAGAGTCTTTTGTATGCAGTCAACTCAGAGATACTAATTTAAATTTGAATAAAAATTTGATAATATGTTCTCACAATTGAAAAATCAATCTACCCATGTTTGTAAGCCATCCAAAAAGACATCATACAAACATGGCCTTCTCCTCCACAAGCTCCTCCACTGGCAGAACCAGCTGCACTCCTTCGCCACCTCCCAAATCCTACAATCCCTCCTCCCATTTGCCCCTCAAATTCAATAAATTTACGTCTTGCCCTTCGTCCACCACCGCCAAGACCTTTCCGATCGTTTGCACTCTAGCCAGAGAATCGACGAGCCGTCAGCCAATGGTGGAGGAGAAGAAAGAGTCCGAACCGGTGATTCTTCTGCGGCCGGACTCCTTCGGCCGGTTCGGAAAGTTTGGCGGGAAGTATGTTCCTGAGACCTTAATGTACGCTCTCACCGAGCTTGAGTCCGCATTCAAATCTCTCGCAGGAGACCAAGACTTTCAGGTTTCTGTAATCAGATTTTTTGAATTATAACATTCAGATTTTTTAGTCTATTTCTGTCGTAACTTCAATCCTTGTGTTTATTGAAATTTGGTTTCCATTTTGTTTTGCTTTTTCTGAAAAATGAATAGAATGAGGTTTTTTTTTCTTTTTACTCCTGAAAAATGAATAGAATGAGGGAAATGAGATTGAATTTCTAACGAAATGGGATGAAATTTTCTACGGACGTCTTCTATTGCTCTGATTTCTATGCTAAGATGTCATGATATCAAATTTTATAGCGTGATATAGATTGATTTGAGAGCTAAGGCTTGCAAAGGAGCCTCACAAAGGTTAAAGGAATTTGGTTTCGACCATTTTGGAGCATTACTAAACCATTTAATTTACAAAAGCCCATTTATGTGATCTCGAACACAAGTTAGTTTTCTGAAGCTAAATCTTGGATTCATATTTCATGTATCAAGTATTGTGATGAAGTTTCCAACTTTATCGGAAATGCGTTCAATTTAAGTATTTTTGTGATGCAATAGTGGTGATCTAGAGCTACATTCCTTGAACTGAAAGTATTATCCTTGATGCTGTGTTTCACAGTCTTGTTGTCACTGGCGATTCTATGACTGACCAAATTTTGTTGCAGAAAGAACTAGATGGGATTTTGAGAGATTATGTTGGCAGAGAAAGTCCTCTTTATTTTGCAGAACGGCTCACTGAGCACTATAAGCATCCCAATGGGGAAGGGCCACATATATACCTCAAGAGGGAAGATCTTAACCACACTGGGGCTCACAAAATCAACAATGCCGTTGCCCAAGCTTTGCTTGCCAAGCGTTTGGGGAAAAAGCGAATTATTGCTGAAACTGGGGCTGGACAGCATGGAGTTGCCACCTCTACAGTATGTGCTCGGTTTGGTTTGCAGTGTGTTATCTATATGGGTGCCCAAGATATGGAGAGACAATCACTGAATGTCTTTAGAATGCGGCTTCTTGGAGCTGAGGTTTGTTTTGCATGCTTATTTCTACTTATTTTAAATTATTAGTGATGGGTGGTTTTTCTTTTTTAAAACACATTACAGAGTTAATTGTTTCATGTGATGTCTTCTGTCATGGTTATGAATGGATGATAAAGGGAGAATTTCTATTGTTCTTCCGATATTCAGGAAGTTGGTTCACTATGTGATGCTGTCTGGAGTTATGGGTTTCATTGTGATTACTAATTAGTTGCATGTTGAACACTATTAGCAGTCCTTTAGTTGTCATTTTCACTAATAGCAAAATCCTTAAATACTCTACCAATGAATTTGTTGGATGCTGATGAATTTAGGTATAAAGGTGGCATGGTGGAATGATCATCCTAGTTGCTCCAAAGTTGGTGTGTGTGCTTGAAGCTTGCGTGTTGTCTCTTTGGGGAGTGAGGTTTTTTTTTTTGGTTGTGTTGGGTGGGGAGGGGATTGTCAGTCAAACTAAGTAGGGCCTGAGGCCCTGCGAATCTGTAAATTGGAGGAGTATGCCGCAACAAAAGGATGGTCTCCTATGCATTTCATTCTTTCCGGAAGAATAATTCAAAGGACCCTCATCATAGTGAACCTCTCCTTGTGATTGGGATGAGGTAGATGCCTCCTAGCCAGGGGGGNTTGGAGGAGTATGCCGCAACAAAAGGATGGTCTCCTATGCATTTCATTCTTTCCGGAAGAATAATTCAAAGTACCCTCATCATAGTGAACCTCTCCTTGTGATTGGGATGAGGTAGATGCCTCCTAGCCAGGTGCGGATCGAATTGGAGTTTCCTTAGGTAGCCACCAACCTACAATTACTCATTCTTCTTCACGTAGTTGTATCTTCTATTCTATGCAACATTACTGTATTTATATCATTTTGTTATTCCTCCTTCTTAAGGATCAAAATATCATTTCAAAACGGTTGAAATGTTTTCATTTTCAAGAAGACCAAAATGAATTAGTGATTGAATCGAAATTCCAATGTTTCGAGGTGTTTCAAGATATTTAGGAATTATTGGAGTTGTTTCGAGATGTTTTAGCATGTTTTCACTGATGTTTCGNATCTTCTATTCTATGCAACATTACTGTATTTATATCATTTTGTTATTCCTCCTTCTTGAGGATCAAAATATCATTTCAAAACGGTTGAAATGTTTTCATTTTCAAGAAAACCAAAATGAATTAGTGATTGAATCGAAATTCCAATGTTTCGAGGTGTTTTAAGATATTTCGGAATTATTGGAGTTGTTTCGAGATGTTTCAGCATGTTTTCACCGATGTTTCAAGGGTTTTCAAGATGTTTAGATATATTTAGACTAATGCTTTGAAAATAAATTCCCAAAATTTTTATCTATTTCCATTATGTTTTCTAAATGTTTTCATTTGTTAGGTGACTGAAACAATGGGCCAGAACGATATTTTGATCTTTACTCCTTGGTCATCCTTGTCATTTGCTGCAATAAGTGTCACGCGGCACGAAAATAGTTGATGAATCTTTATGAGGTTCCATGACGACCTTTATATTATCATCTTATTGTCATTGCGTGAGCTCCTACTAGAATTACTTTTATATCTCACATTGGACCCTCATTATTATCCTTGTTATGTTGATGGTCAACTTCTTTAGGTTGATGTTCTAGAGTTGACAACTAGCTGGAAAACATGCTTTATATGGAATGATTGTGTTACTTGATTAGGTAGAAACAGTTGGTTCAGGTGTTGAGCTTTCATTTTAATATATAGGTTAGAGCAGTTCATTCTGGGACGGCAACTCTAAAGGATGCTACTTCGGAAGCTATCAGGGATTGGGTAACCAATGTGGAATCTACCCATTATATCTTGGGTTCTGTTGCGGGGCCACATCCATACCCTATGATGGTAAGAGAGTTTCATGCGGTGATTGGTAAAGAAACGAGGAAACAGGCATTGGAAAAATGGGGTGGGAAGCCAGATGTACTTGTTGCATGTGTTGGTGGAGGTTCGAATGCCATGGGACTCTTCCATGAATTTGTTGATGACAAAGATGTTAGATTTATTGGTGTGGAGGCTGCAGGTTTTGGCCTAGATAGTGGTAAACATGCTGCCACTTTGACTAAAGGAGAAGTTGGTGTACTGCACGGAGCTATGAGCTATTTATTGCAGGATGAAGATGGGCAGATAATTGAGCCTCACTCTATTAGTGCGGGGTAAAGGAATTCATTTATGTTTTGATTTTGAGTTTAGGGATGATTGCTTTCACTATAGTTTCCTAACAGGAAACCTTTCTTTGTCTCTTATAGGCTCGACTACCCTGGAGTTGGACCAGAGCATAGCTATCTGAAAGACATAGGACGTGCAGAATATTATAGTGTTACTGATGAAGAGGCATTGGAAGGTGAGGACTAAGGATATACCACCTATATTTTCTTTTCAGTTCTATATGGATTCCATGATTCCACTTACTATGCATGTGTGCATGAACCACATTGTTCATTGTTTTTTTTCCCAGCGAAAATAGCACATTCTTTGTAATTCCTCCTCCTTTCTTATAGCTCTATTTGGTTTTATAAGTAGAATAAAAAGGTGCTTGGCCTTTGTTACCTGGTTGTTGATAGGTTGTATTGTTATCATAAGCTAGAGTTCCTCCTCCTCCTCCTTTCTGTCTATTTTGCCTCTTTTTTCCTTTTTTGTTTTATTTTCATTTTTGTTGGTTTCTTTGGGCTTGTGCTTGCAGCTTTTAAGAGATTATCTAGGCTAGAGGGCATAATCCCAGCTCTGGAGACATCTCATGCATTGGCTTATCTAGAGAAGCTATGCCCAACTCTTCCAAACAGAACGAAGGTCGTTGTTAACTGCAGTGGCAGAGGAGATAAAGATGTTCAGACAGCCATTAAGCATTTGCAGGTTTGATTATGGGGCATTTTATTCCGAGAAGGGTTTACAATTTCTTGTAACATGTTTGTTTTCTTGAGAAGAGCCGTTGTATGGATGAAATAAAGTTTTGTGACGTAAGCCGTCAAAAAATTTTGTTTGGATTACATTTGCTGTTAATTTCTATACAGGTATGACGATGACTTTAACCACACGAATCTTTTGCAAAATCATACATTAAATACTCACTTCTTCTAAAGCTATACAGATAACATTCCCAAGCACTGCTACCTACCTATCACCAATTTTGCATTGCTGTTTCGAAAAGTGGCACAATTACCGCAACTTTACATGGTCAGACTGCCTGTTAGCTTAATTTTCTTAGTGCGAAACTTCTAAGCAATTACAGAACTTGAACCT